ACCAGGAATAGAGTACACTATGTAGAGTATTTACTGCACCAGGGATAGGATACAGTATGTAGAGTATATACTACACCACGGATAGGGTACACTATGTAGAGTATTTACTACACCAGGAATAGAGTACACTATGTAGAGTATTTACGACACCTGTGAAAGGTACACAATATCGAGTATTTACCACACCAGGGATAGGGTACAGTATGTAGAGTATTTACTGCAGCAGGGATAGGATACAGTATGTAGAGTAAATACTACACCACGGATAGGGTACACTATGTAGAGTATTTAATACACCAGGAATAGAGTACACTATGTAGAGTATTTACGACACCTGTGAAAGGTACACAATATCGAGTATTTACCACACCAGAGATAGGGTACAGTATGTAGAGTATTTACTAACCAGAGATTAGGGTACAGTATGTAGAGTATTTACTACACCAGAGATAGGGTACAGTATGTAGAGTATTTACTACACCAGGGATAAGTACTATAATTTTTTATCAGCGACAAAATTAGGCAATTATTTGATAACTAAATTGCTCAGATATCAAAATACAAAAAAAATAATTAAATAAAACACTGTTGAGAAAAAATTTGCTAACATTACGGCGTATTTGGCGCCACCTATAGTATAGGTGATGTTGTGCATTTACATTTCAATTGTTTGATTTTATTGAGTTTACCATAAACTTAGGCCATCATACTTATTAAATAGTTTTAAGGATATACATAATATTGTAAATTAAGAGTTAATTTGCATGTATTGTATATTTTACTGATGTTTATAACCAATGTGAAATTAATTTTTTAATATTTATACTTGAAGCGTAAATAAAACAAAACTTTGACACATGTCAGGTAAGGTTAAATGATGCTGCTATAAATTGAATGTTTTTCAGTATTATTGGAAATGAGGAGGAGCCTTCTTCGTTTGAGCTACATGTCTGTGTCAAAGACTACTGCTTTGCTCGAGATGACAGGTTAGTGGGTGTGGCTGTTATGCAGCTACGAGACATCATAGAACAAGGAAGCTGTGCATGTTGGCTCCCTCTTGCTCGTCGTGTACACATGGATGAAACAGGCTGGACAATTCTGAGAATACTTTCACAGCGGACCAATGATGAAGTAGCCAGGGAGTTTGTCAAGCTAAAGTCCGAGATTCGAAATGATGAAAACCTGCAACAAGCACTAAAGAATTAAATAGCTGAGAAGTTCGGGTTTTAACCTAGGGTTCTTGGTCCTACATACTTTAAGCTTGGGTTACTATAATTTTGGTTCAGTGACTGAAGCAGAGCTTCCAGATTTGCTCACCTAGTATGTTTGGGAGTGTATGTTTCTAATTTTGGTGGAGGAAATATGATGTAGATAGATAAAAGTAATAATGTTTTTCAAGCTTTTATATCTTGGTCTGAAGGTTGTAAAAGATGTATACTAATATTTAAAGTTTTCAAAGTTGCTTTTTGTTTAAAAGTGGGCTTTTTTTCCTACATGCTACATATCCAGTGTAGTGTGTGGTGTTGCAAATAATTCATATTTCTGAAAGTCACTTTCTAGTCTAGACCTTCATCATCACGGGTCTTTTCTTGCATGCTGTGAATATCTGAGAGTTGAAAGTCTATTTTTTATAACAAAGTACGTTGTTGTAGTGGTGTAAAAGGATCTAGTCAAGAATGTGAATCTAGTCACAAAATTGTACTGTTTGTGCCAACCTGAACTCCCATAACTTCTTTATTAATGATCTCAATTTTTTTGAAAAATAGATCTAGTCACTTTATAAGTCTATATTTTTTGTCTAAAATGCACATTCCTGTAAAGTCAAATATGTATGTTTATTACGTAGTTATTTCAAGGTTTCAACTCCTTCTGAATTTTTTAAATGAGTTGCATTTTTCTATATGATATAATTAAAGATCTTTATATGGTTGTTATTATAAGTGGAGAATGAAATGTTTATAAATATTACTGGAGATTTGCTGGTAATAATTGTTCAAAATATTTACTTGTTTTCTCTAACTGTTATCAAATTCTCAATTGCTGATATGAGTGATAGTAACTAGATTGAGAACCTGGTTTAGACATTAAGTTGAAAATGAATGGTTTATTTCACATTCCAAATTTATAATAGTTACCATACAAGGAAATGAAAATGTTCACAATGATCACATTATGAAAACCATTTTGTTTTATTTTTATTATTATTAAAGGAATAACTCTATCGATTCATAATTAACATGTTTTATGATTGAAGTCTAAGAAAAAAATGTTTAACCTCAAGTTCCCTTATTACAAAATATAGATTTTATTCTGATTTTACCCCAAAATGGCACATCCATTAAGACATCCAAGACTTCTGATACTTGATTGTGGCAGAAAGAGCTAGCACATCAGAGTGTCTAAAATTTTCCTTTTGATTCTGGTGTAAAAGTCCGGTCGAAAGGCATTGAAGACTGCCACTGTCACATTTCAAACTTGTTATACCTAGATTTTGGAAAGGAAAGCTAGAATATCAGGATGTCTAAATGTCTTTTGAGACTGTAGTATTGAAAGCCAAGTTGACATATATTTTTCATAGAAGAACTCTGTCAAATAATGATATTTTATTTATGAATAATAATAAAAAAAAAGAGTAAAATAGTTAAAAACATTTCACTAAATCCATCTAGCATCATTGGGTTGAGTGGTGTTTTGGACGTACAACTAGTTTAGAATATTAATATCTTGACTCAGTTTTTATCCATAAGTAAAACATTCATGATAATTATCATTGATAATCCACAGTCACCTTCCAAAAAATTCCAATACCAAGACTTAAACAGAAATAACTATTGTATCATGATATATGAATAGTCTTGGAGATTCTAGTCTAGGCAGCCAAATTGAAGTCACTGATAGGTCAATTTTTGTTTTGTTTTTCAGAATGAAATCACAAATGGTGATGTAGATGTGGTGCTGTGTAATACTAGAGTATGGGAAGCTGTCACAGAAAAGGCAGGCATTTTCTGCTTCTCTTGGTTACATCACCACTTTTGGTCTATTTTATCCTGTTAATGTTAATCTAATGCTGGTTTAAGTGACCAAGGTTTATAAGTTATCCCTTTTTTTCTATATATGTTGCACAATAAAGCGTTTTCACAACAGTTTCCATTAATAATTTTATTTGATCTATTATATAATACATCCAACTACTTCAGTGGTTTTAGAAGTTTTCAACTTTGTTACTTATTAGAGTAATATGCATCACAATAGGATGTTAAAAGATATAAAGTTGAAAATACAAATATACATAGTTATATACAGTAATGGAAATAATTATGGAAACTCTGATAAACTGGTTATAAAATGAAAATATTAATGAACTTGCTCATCATGTATTGTACAAAAGTGAACAGTGACTGAGTACAGTAATATACTGATAGTAGCTGTCATCCAGTCCAACAAATTAAGAGAGTATCACACCAGAATAATGCTGGAAAAATTAAAGGCAGTCATACTATTCCCAGCAGTAGCTTGGTGAATGACCTTATGGCTTCTAGGACAAACATGTAAAATTCAAAGTTTTGACTGTTGATACCTACTCCATGCGACACATTGAAGCCAAATTTCATGTTTCAGGTACGAGCTGCATAAAAGCTGTTTAGGGTATATAAAACTAGTGCTGTTGGTCCTGCGAATTTAAACTTACTAAAAGTTATTTTGTTTTAATAACGGATTTTCCATAATTCAGCTACGCAGATTTCGAAAATAATATTCTTTTTTTTTCTATAACGTAAGGAATTTTTACAAATCGGGAAGAGAAAAAACTTACTTAGATCAAATTATTATTTCAATAAGCTCATATTACAACCCAACTCTTTGAATTTATCGAGTACGTTATTGACAATATTTTCGTAATTTGGGACCTTGTTGTTAATTTAAAATTTGTCAGTAACATCTTTAAAGGTAATCTACACTTCTTTTTCAACTTTCCTCATTGTCTTTTCGAACTGTTCATCCGAACTCAATTTCCTAATCTGAGGCCCAACAAAAATTCCTTCTTTAAGTTTCACTTCTGAAAGAGCTGGGAATTTCCCACATAGATATTTCAAACAGTCGCCATATTTGTCTAAGGCGTTTACAAACTGCTTCATCAAGCCCAGTTTTATGTAAAGTTATGGTAATAGGACTTTCTTTGTGTCAACCAAACTTCCACGTTCAACGTTTTTCAATACTAGTATCAGGCTGATTCTGTGTGGCAATTCCTTCTATATCTAGTACTGATTTCGTACTCTGCTGCCCCATCCACACAAAAACATGGACACTTTGTATAAACGGATTGTTGAACCAACAACATACAAAGGACTTTTAAGTCTCCACAAAATAGCCAACCGTGTTCTTTGTATTTGACCTTATTAAGAAGTTCGAGTTTTTCACATTTCCTTCAAGTGAACCGAAATAGGAACAGATGTATATGTGTTACCATTGTGAAGGAGACCACCTTTAGACTTGTTTTGGAGGAATCAATGAACAATTGCCACTAACTTGGTTCATAGCCTGCAGCTCCTAGCACTGGTATTAACTCGGCAATATTGTTGCAATAAACCAGAGAACCTTCTTATGGTACAAACTCTTTCTCACGATTTCTGTACAAATGATGTCCCTGGAGAAAGCAATTTCTTAGCCCGAAGTCTGGACCCCAAAATTTCTTGTAGCAGTTTGAAGGTTCGGATAAGAAATTTCCTTTTTATTTCAAGTGTTGTAGCCTTACACATTACATGAGCAAAAATAGCAGTCATTTCCGTGCTTCCTAGGCTCGTGCCAGACCATTGCAATTCCAAAAGGCAACGACTTTTTCTTATCTTCAGTCCATTGTCTCAACTCTTCGACACAAATGGTGCAAACTTTGTGCGGAGCCCATAATTTGTCTGAGTCCCCAAATTTTATTCCAAAACATGTGTAACACACTTTTTTGTCGAATTCTGTAATGTTTTGCCTTTGTTTCTTTAAAACAAGTTTTCCGCAAATATAACAAATGTTGGAAAATAAGGCATAATCTCTCAATAGCCTGAAATCATAGGTAGTGATCGGAGGAAGAAAGTCAGGAAATATTCATAGTTTCATCAAAGCTCGTACGTTCTGAAATCAGTTTTATGTATGTGAGAATACCAACTTGTATCTTAGTTTCAGAATGACACTCAGGTCACGTGTTTAGGGCTCTAAAGCTAGAGAGATGCCAGAGAGGATCCGGGATTCATGCTCTCCTGAAAAAAGTTTTGAAAAATAAAAGTAAAATGGCGCATTCTTGTGGCATTTCATATAGTTGACACCAGTGTAACTCCATATAAATCTGTTGAACAGGTTTATCAAGAAAATTACGGCATTTCAGCGTGTTGCAATGATTTCTC